GCAATATACTATCCCAGTCCACTGAAAAGAAAAATATAGCGTGACAACATATTATACGTCAATTAAGAAAACTGATGTAACAAATAATTCTGGGGCCCTGGATAATACTTTTGTGGGCCATACTACCAGTGGGACTGGGTCTACGTAGATCCAGTGCCATGCATGACTCGTCAATTGTCTGTTCAAGAACGTAATTTGATGTTTTACATTTTCTCGGCTGATTCGGGGAAAAGTTGGAAAATGCTGATGATTATCCCGGGGCCCCTCAAGATATAGCCCCTAGTTTTAGCTGGTACTGAGGGCTTATTGTTGTTACGTCACTGCTTACCACATTGAAATAACTGAAGAAGTACATGTCAGTACCGAATAAACAAATAAAAACGATAATAATTATTAAATTATCCCACCTGAATCTATACGCTCCTGGTCACCACTAGTTACGGTTTTCAGCCTTTTCTATTACATTGTGAATTTGACGCGAGATTTATGTGTATCCTCTATTATTAACGAAATTATGCCTGTACGTACGTACCTACCACGTCGATTTCCATTCTGACAAGCGGGTCAAGATTAGGTCTGTCTCTTATACACATCTAGATGTGTATAAGAGACAGAGTCTTAGACATGTGATTACCTAAACACTTGAAGCACAATTTTTCTTTGCTGGCTAGATTCCATCGATCATCTACATGTTTATCTTTGAACTCATGGCATTCCCACAACCTATGGATACCTTTACAACATACACATTTATCATAATTTCTCTCTGGCTTCGTACAGCTATGAAAGACTCTTTTATTTTTAACCTCAACTGATTTATTATTTACCTTTTGATTTACCTCTACATGGCGCCCAAACATAGTGCTATTAACTTCTGCCTGACCCTCTACAAATTTTAACATATCTTGGAAGATGGGTTCTCGTTTCTGAAGTATCTCATGGGCAACATTGGCCCACTTAGCTTGTAGGAATTTTGGTAATAACCCCTGAACTTTGAGTAAGTTTGACGTGCTATTTAAGTCATTTGTATAACCCATTTTAGTTAATGTTATGTAACATTTTTTCATGTCTCCCACCAGCAACCATAACCCTTCATGATCTCCTCCATTTAAAGGTTTCCTATTCAAAAGATTACCCATTAAAGCATTCAGTACCAAATGGGGTTGGCCAAATTGTTTTCTCAGGATTTCTTTTGCCTGATGGTAACCTTCAGGACCCAACAACACAGTACTTTCAATACATGCCCTAGCCTTTCCTTTACATAACTGCAGCAAGTACTGTAGTTTTGAACTATCATTACTTAACCCTTGCTGCGATATTTGTTTCGAAATTGGACATAAATGCCCAATAATTACCTGGTTCCCCATTGAAATCACTAACCTCAGCCTTAGGTAATTCCAAAGCCAGTCTCAGGGCTATGTCATTACTCACTACATTATCTTTAGTCCCTTTATCACTTTTAGTAGTACTGGTGTTTCCATTGCTACTGCCATTACTTGGGCTCAAGGCATCACTGTTAATACTGGTGTTTTCATTGCTACTGCCATTACTTAGGTTCATGGTGTCACTGTTTACACTGGTGTTTTCATTGTTGCTACCATTACTTGGGTTCACGGTGTCACTATTGATACTGGTGTTTTCATTATCAGTTTCATTATTCTCTTTCTCTTTAAACTTTATTCGGCTCTTCAATTCCCGTATCGCTGACATATATTCTGTTTGACAATTTTCCATCCATTCTTCTTCTTTTAAATAATCATCCTCATTTTCTATTAGGTTAATCAACTCAATCAATCAATCAATTGTTGCATACATTTGTCTATACATTAAGATTCTGCTTTCCACCTCTATTTTTTCATAAACACCTTCTTTCAACAAGTTCGCAATCCCCGATAATGCTCTGGTCAGAGCACCCTTTCTGTTTCTACGTGTTATTTTTAATTTATTTATTTTCTCCGCCATTGCTAATGTTTAATATCACAACACAATTCAATGTTTACAGAATTGGAATTATCATGTAAAGTTCACTACAATTTGTATTCTTTATTCGTCGTTGTTTATTTAATGTTCAATATACTAGCATAATCGTACGACGCTCATCATAGGCCTTTACATCCAAAGTGTTTTAATTATTCACTCGCAGTGTTTCGAATGTTCTAGAATTTGCTGAAACAGCCGACTCGCTGATGCCATTAGCAGCACCGCGCTGCAGGCTATATTAATTATTCAGGTTGTCTCAACGCTGTTTGTTGCTGGACCGTAACGTTATTTTCCCATCCTAGTCTTAGGCTAGCATTTACTAGGCCTAAGTTCGGACGAACAGTGAGAGTTTTCAGGATTAACTTAACTGTTTAACCTCGCTCTGCTACCATTTGGATTGACGCTTTCCAATATTTTATTACTGCTCACTGTCATAAAGGAACACAATCGCATTTAAACTTGTTTTGTTTCTTTATTTTCTAAGAAAACCCGGTCAACAGCCATGATCGAAAAACAACAACAACCACCTTGCGCTCTCGCCTAAAAACTATTATAGCGCCCTCAACATTTCAACTATTGTTTTAATTAAATAATAATTTTTCTTCTATTCACGCATTGAGTCATTTTTTTGCAATTTATAGCAATTTATTATTATTATTATTATTATTATTATTATTATTATTATTATTATTATTATTATTATTATTATTATTATTATTTTTATTATTATTTTTATTATTATTATTATTATTACATTTCAGGTGACAGAAATAGGCAATGGAAAAAGAATAGTTGTGATTATATCATCTTTAGATTCCGAAAAGGTCTTATACAAAGGGCAAAGTAATGATTATTGCACAACGTTCACAAACATTACTAAAGTAAGTCAAAAGCAGAATAAAACTATGTTTATAACACCCCATTATTCTACTGTCATCATATTCATATATGTAGGACTGGTGACTGTCCTTATAAAATG